GTCTTGGACCTACCCGATTGTCTCTTCATGGCAGGTACTGCCATCGGTGGCGTTGATGCGCTCACAAACAGAGCCCAGTACCGCCTCCATGGCACTGGCATTGCCATAGCTCATGACCGGATCCATAAGCAAGGCGGATATCATCAGATCCCGTCCAAAGTAGGTCAGAAAACGCCATGCACCAGCAAGAAGTTTCTCCGAGTAGGAGAGAAACGAGAGTGCAGTGGTCTGAACGGGCATTTTAGACACAAGGTCTGCAGAGGCATTGTTTATCACCTCGGCCGGAGGCAGCTGGGACAGCTGCGGATAGTCAATCTCTGCCGAAAAGACGTAATCACCCGCCTCAAATCTGACCGTCTTGCCGGAGACGGTGGCCTTGGATGTGCTGTTGGCAGGAGTAAACTTGATTGCGCTCGTGGTGACATTGTCCAGCCACAGACGCTGGAGCATCACGCTTCCGTCAAAAGAGCTGATAAACTGAATGGTATCCTGGATCTTCGGCTGCAGGAGACTTGGCCCTTCGACGAAATCCCGGATCGTGCGAATGCTGCCCAGAATGGGGACGGTCAAGACCGCCGACGAGTTGAAGCGGAGCGTGCCTTGCACCCCAACCCCGGGGTTTGGCTCTTTAGCCGTGTAATTGAGGGACAGTGGGCTTCCCACGGTAGAGTTGACGACCGAAATACCAAGGGTGCCGTTGACTCCATTCTCAGGAGCAAAGTAGGTGCAGATGCCGCTGTTGCCCGCCGGCCAGGCTACGATCAGCCGAGGCCCGATCAAACTCAGATTGCTGTCCGGTAATGGAGAAGTGACAACTACTTGAGCAGCAACATTGCAGTCCGAATAAAAGTAATTGTCATATGGACCACTGCTCAGTGCAAGTGCGGCGGGCGATTCACCGCATGATTGGGGTGTCTTCACTTGTCAGCAGGGTAGGTGAGCAGCTATACATCGTACTTACATCTAAAGTCCGCCCACTCAGAGGACTGGCCAAGACGCTGAGAGCTTGAAGAGCAGAAAGACCTGTGACTAATGATCGCTTCATGGTGGCGAAATCACTGATAGAGAAACGCGAGTATGTCGGGCATCACCAGGAAAAGGGCTCCTTATATCTTTTCGTCCTCACTGGTTTGTCCACACTTGATTTCATCCAGATCGTCAAGGAGGCCAAATATGGCAGGAGGAAAAGAGCTATGCCGTCAGTGGAGGTGGCTCTAGTACAATAAGATCGAAGCCGTCCAGCCACGGCATGCTTGATCATAACTCTATACGGTTGCCACGGCGGTGAATCGGGGAAACGGGAATAAGAAAGCAGTGAATTCTGGGGGATTTTGGGGTATTTTGGGGTACTTCCCGCCTGTCAATTTCCGATAATTATCCTTGAGTGAAAATCAGTTTGGCCTCAGGCATTCCCTATGTTCTTCCATTGTTATGTGACTTATGTCTCCACTGATGATATTATTATCGATCGTCAGTACTCAAACAGGATCTACTCTATTGTGAAAGCATCTTCTTGACCCTCTTCACCAAACTCTGTTCAAACTGCTCCACCCCGTTGGGCTGCTCAATGAGCTTGCCGCCCTTCATCACATAGACCGACCTTCTTCGACTCTGCTCTTCGACTTCTTGGTCTACCCCCTCAAACTCTTCATCCAAATTATGCTCGTCGTCGCGTTTCCCTTCAATGACTGATCGGACCAAGAAACGATCGTGAGATACCAGGAGGATTGCACCGTTGAACGACGACAGCGCAGTCGCAAGAGCCGTGACGGTATGGAAGTCCAGATGCGTTGTGATTTCATCAAGAACCAGCAAATGAGGCGCGTTCCAGATTACCTTGGCAATTCCAAGACGGACCTGAACAATGTCAACAGCTGCAGATCGCTACTCAGACTTGCAAACGTACCAGTTGGCCTCCCGATAATCGTGCAATGGGCACGTCTGAGACTATCCTGCCCTGCAGACCCAGTGACGAAAGCAAACCACGGATCTCGCTCTCGCTAAGTGAAGTATTGATCTCCTTGGTCATGAAACCTAATGCGGTCAGTGTAGGATCGGCTCGGCCTTGTTCATGGAGCTCCTCGATCGAATGCTGCGCGTAGTATCCCAGTTTCAGCCTGGAGTGGGTGGATATCTTCCCCTGCGTCGGCTGTAGATTGCCCGTCAACAGGAGGATGAGCGTAGATTTGCCAGAACCATTAAGCCCCATGATCCCGACCCGATCGCCCATGTGCATTACCAGTTCGATCCCGTTCAGTATCGGCGGTGCATCCCGCTTGTACCGGAAACATAACCCCTCCGCCGAGAGTAATGGACCCGGGAAGCGCAGGTCACTGGCATCGGGCAGGATAATCGACATACCTCTTTCGTCTGTTGGTACTTCAATCTCAGCTCGCGCGGTGAGATGGTAGCCCGCCAGATCCCTGTTCAGTTTAAAGCGGCCGCCATTGGCGTTGACCTGAATGCCCATCCGGTCGTCGACTTTCTTCTGCCGGGACTTGGCCATGCGCAGCTTATTGTCGTCGTTGGTCTTCTTACCCAGCTTGATGTTCTCTCGAATTGTCGCTTCCATGTGCGCAATCTGGCGCTCTTGTGCCTCCTTCATGCGGCCCCAGTAGAGTTTCTGCGCTTCAAAATCTTTCTCGTAGGCGGACAGGTTGCCCCTGAAGTAGGTCAGTTTCTGGTCACGCAGGATGACGATCTCCTCGCAGACCGCATTGACAAAGTCTCGGTCGTGAGATACCAGCAAGATGGTCGTCTGGGACGAGTCCCGTAACCGCTGTAGGTAGTTCTCCAGCCAGACGACCCCAAGCAGATCCAGGAAGTTCGTCGGTTCGTCTAGGATCATGATGTCCGGGTTCTGGATGAGAACGCTGGCCAACAGACAACGCATGCGCCAGCCCCCGGATAAAGTCAGGAAGGTTTTGCTGAGCATGGCTTCGTCAAACCCCAGCCCGATAAGTATCTGCCGAGCTTGCTTCTCAATATCGACCAGTTTCATCTGTCATGCTTAGGATTCGTCATCATCTGGACCTAGTTTCGGCACTCACGACTTCAAACTGAGCCTGTAATTCCTGCAAAGTATCCATCGCCGCCTGTGTCTCAGCCTTTAGCGCATCTGCATCAATAGGCTGATCAGACTGCTCAACCCTATCACCAAATTAGTGGACTTCCAAGCCTCCAGAGGACAACTCACAGCTCCTTTGAAGCCTCGTATCTCGCCTCAGCGGCCTTCAAGTCCTTCCGAGCCTGTAACCCCCTCGCACCACTCTTGAGGCTGGCATTCTTCTGCGCAAGAAACAGCTGCTTCTCAATCTCATCGTGGCGGACTCTTCGGATCGCCCGCACAGGTGCTAGCGGATCATCCGTCTCGAAGCTCTTCGACAGGACTTCACACCGTTAGACCTTTTCCCTTGCAATAAGAGGCTACAGCTTACCATCCATCTTCCTCACAACCTCATTCCGGAACCGATCGCTGCTCATGACATACTCCAACACGGGCAGATCCCGCCTGTCGCGGTCCTCCCCCTCGGGCTGGAAGATCCGCTCCTCATCCTCCGTCTCCGTCTGCTGCAGGATCGCAATGCGCGTCGGATGCGGAATCCCAGGAACCAGTTTGTCGGCCATAGCACGGAGTAGCGCTTCATCGTCATCATCCATTAGCATCTCAAATCGGCTAATGCCAACCTTTTAATCGACATACTCGACTTCCCCGTCCCATTCCGCCCAATTAGGCCATAATGCACCCCCGCCTTGAGTCTCAAGTGAGCATCGACGATGAGCTCTCGCGCGTCGGCCTTGGATTTGGATTTCGATTTCGATTTCCCCTTTGCTTTGGAGTTTGAGGGATCGCCGTGGTCGGTTGTGTCGGCCGGTGAGGATGTGACTGCGATGGTGAGACCTTCTACATCGATCTGGCGTGGATTAGCAGTGACCTGGCGATGATATGAACATGCGTATATGTATACATACCTCCTGCGCGGGCTGATCGTGGAGTAGATGGAATCGGGTCTGTTTGCAGGTTGCTATGATGGAGGGTGTCATTCCGTAGATACTGGATGCAGTCGCGATCGAAGTGTTCTCGTTCTATACAGTAAATGAAAGAATTCGGGTAGATAATGCCTCGATTGTATATTGTTAAACATGCTCTCCGCTTGTCAACGCCAACGCCGACGCCAATGCACGATATTAGTATGACTACACGACGCACCCAAATTTCCTCCAACCTCGGCCGGAAGCTCATTGAGGAACCACTTCTGGGAAAAGATTTACATGATGATTCCCCACGTTGCACTACACTGAGTCACGGTGAGGGTGCAGGCTGGTATAAAGTGCAGGGCGGGGTCCGAAAAGGGTATAGCGGCGATCAGGTCTGCCTGAGGAATTTGATCTTATTGATGATTGTGGTGAACCCTGTGGATTATGCTTTTATATAAAGTGGAATGGAGCAGTTTTGTGAGTCAGTTTGATCAGTTGATGGAGAAATGAATGTGGAGAGTTTTATTAGTATGAGACATGGTCAGAATATACTGCGGAGTCTTGTATAGGAACCCTCGAGGTGAAATATTTAGTAGTTCGATATTGTAGGTTAGATAGCATTTAGAGGTCTCAAGAGAAATGGTACCTGGAATAATCATCAAGACACCACTGGTGTATGTTCTAGATAAAGTGTGTGCATAGCTATCATAGCAGGATTCTCGCCACTTGAAGCTTAAAATGCCTCATCATCGGCGACAACCATTATAACCACCCACATCTGATACTCCACACAACCATTCTCTACTACAATATAATGAACTAGATGTTAACCAGTCAGGCCACCATGGGAAGTGCTCAAAACAGCAATATGGAACTATCATCTGACCTGTGTCGCCAACGCAATCATGACCTCATCCCAACCACACTTCTGAACCCCTAACATATAAGGGCCATGAGTTCCAAACCAACCATTTCGGAAAGCAAATCAGCAGTCAACTGAACATCAAATCAACATCATCGCAATGACTTCCAACTACAATCTCAGAAGGGCCGCTAACCCAGCCCAAGACCAGGCGGGAGGGTTGGCCGGCGAGCCCGACTTGCAGTCTCAGTCGCAGACCACACCCGGGCTCCAGTCGCAAACAAGCCAGCAGAAGAGCCAGCAGAGTACTTTCCAGAGCTCGGAATCCACGAAGCAGGTACGCGTTCAGTTCCCTGAGCCCAGTTGTAGCAAGCTCTAATTACTGATTCATTGGCCCGACCAGTCCTCCAGTGACAATGTCCAATGGGGCAATCAGCCTGGAGACTTCAGTGCCTCGGAGACGAATCCAAAGCCGCCTGGATCGTACCATTTCACCAGTGACCAGCTGTCTCATCCTCAGGAGTAATGATGCTTTATGTCTGATGGGTTCGACTCAAGTAAGCTGCGGTAGTGTAACATGATGCGTAAAAGTGTACAAGTATATGAACATCTGTATTGAGAATGCTGAACATGACATTTTGAAACGAGAATTGAGTTGAATATCAAGATCTGCATTATATTGTTAACACTAAACTGTCTGGTCAGCCTGACATCAAGTAGTCATAAGAGCATTCGGAATGCATCAAGCCAGCCCACTACCTAGCTGGTCAACATCCTTGTAGCAGAATGCTCACTGCTCAGTTGGGCGCGGGAGTATTGAGATGACCAACCTCGCTCACACGATACTGCACGGAGAATGAATGCACCACTAGCCGATCTGTGGCGCTTCACCTCATATTACCCATTTCACAGAGAACACCCCATTCTGGAACCCCTGTAGACGTGCACGACTCGGCATCAAACCGAGGCGTGGAATCGTGGTCGGGGAGGCTTCGCGATACAACCCACAGAAGTATAGTCAGTATCAGATCAGACTAGTGAATCGTTCTCGATCAAACCACAGATAACTATAGATTAGATGATGAAACAGGGGCGTGGAGAGAAAGCAGCCTTGCAAGGCATCTTCCACGATTCACAATCCACCATTCTCGAGTCTAGACGCCCAGGAGGCTTCATTGAAACGATAGAGTCGAAGGTCTAGACTGGGCGGAGTATCACCGCATGTGAGTGGACGGACTTGATCAATTCCGATAGATATCGTCTCCCGAATGGGTTCCAAAAATTATTTACCCAGATGGGTTATGTCGTTCGCAGGTCCGTGGTAAGAGGAGCGGAATCCTGCCGAGCCCTCCTCAACAGGAGGATGAGCTCGGACTTCTCCAAGACCTGTGGATCGGTAGACAATCAGGCTAGACTCACACGTCGGATGGGTTATCCCATGCATTATCTGCTTCGGGCTTGTTCAGATGGCTATGTGATCGTGCTGCGCCTCGACCGACAGAACAAAGCCAATCGCTTTTGAAGATATTCTGTAGCCTGGCTGTGGCGTCTGCTGGTCAGCCGAACGAGGACTCTTAACGCCGATACCGGATTCGGCAATCTGGCCCGGTTGCCGTTTATAGTTGTCGCAGTCGATGTCGGTTTCACACAAAATAGACATATTCAGCGTCAGGTTGAGTACTTGGACGGGAAACACATTTGCCGGTTTAAACTTTGGCAGAGGTTTGTAGTCGAATCCACTGCCGATGATTCTCCATTTGGCCCATTCAGTTGCTAAAGCTGATCAAGCAATAGTGGTTAGATGGCTTGCAGAGTGGCGGTGCGGCTAGTCAATAACTACTCCTTACCATAGTAACAATGGAGACGTAGTACGGTATTACGTAACATCTAGATAGATAGCAGATTGCAAGATAAACTAGAGTATTCTTCAACCTCTCTAGCCGTGCCAAGCTTTGGCTCAGATTTCACCATGATCCACCATAAACCAGAAAATGGGAGACCTGGGGATTGAGCCAAAGCGGTCCTGAAGCCTTCTAGAACAATGCTGATGTCCGAAAGAAGGCAGAGGGGCGATCTCCACGAGCTACTCAGTCTGGTCATTCGTTTAAATGTCAAAAAATGACCATATCATTACCAAAGATTGATGGAGCAAAAATCTTTCACCTGCACTGTCCTTTTCGAAAGTGGTGATCGTCAGTTATTCAGATACAAAGCTGTATCTCTTGTCCTTCGTTGTCTGTTGTTTCGTGCTAACGACTTGGAATGTAATGATTTCTGTCCCAGGGATACGTAAATACCTCTCTATGTCCAAAATTCTTGGTTGAAGCACATGGTTCAATGTCGAGTTTCATGTCTCAGCAACATAACTAACAGACTCAAATATGTGAACGTCCGGCATTTATCCATTTTAATTTCCAGGGAGAACAGTTTCTCTTCAAATTGAAAGCATAACTCATGTATCATTGGCCAATTTGGAGCCACATACGTCATTTCATGCTCAAAAACGGACCTAGGGCTTTACTGGAGTATGTCCCGCGAAGGGTAACCAATTAAATTAACCCCTGCTGCCATGAAAAAGGGATGGGGAGCGCAGTTTCGTCGGACACACAGACTTGAAACAGCAAAGCGCCAAACCACAAAACACCAGACGAGGACCATAGTGATTGATTACTTGGGGCAAATGTCAGGGGTACTATAATACCGTACCTAGTATCTGGTGTGTAGTTCTCGTATTCCTCGTTGAGGATGAAAAATGACACAAGCTCAACATGCCATGCAGGTGGTCAACTGGCTGCATATAGGATCTCTTGTTGACATGATCTCTGACGATCAACTACCGTAGACAGAAGTAAACAAACTACCAGATCTTGGTGGAAGATCTCCTGATTGTCCCCAAGACTTGCCGTATCCAAGGCAGTAACAATACGGAACTGGTAAGGAGGGTGGATCCCCTCCTTAGGGTGCAGCATTGTTAGCCCTAGGTCTCAAACCAATCAACAGCCACAACATGCAAAGGACTCCGCTTCTCAACGCTGAGTCAGCGGGGGACGCGCAAGCCGCTCTACCTAACGTGATTTCTATTCCTGGAGAGGACAAAGTGCCCACTTCGCCGGCCTCCTAGATACTAGTACTAGTAGTGGCTCCTCCAGACTCCTAGTTCTACCGCGACCATCTATGGTACCTCCCGACTCCTGTCGTTCTGCTTCACGTTTCTGATTCCTCGTAACCTATCTATCTATCTATCTATCTATCTATCTACTACTATCGCCCTTTCCGCCGGTCGATCCCCAGCAATCTCCCTGACCCATCCTACCGTTGCTACGATTTCGACTGCCTTATCCCACCCACACCTTTCTGACCCTTTCCATTGATCTCGGCTCTTTGGTTCATCACCTCGACTTCATTTCCCTATCCATTTCTTTCCTCGAACGATATCCTTCCAGAACCTCGCGTATACGTACATCCTTAAAATCTTTATCACGCCTTTCAGAGTCATTCACTATCTACATATATTTGGCCGCCCTATCAAACCATCATCAATTCTCCATCGTTGATCGCCCGGACGCTTCATTCGTTCGATATCGGAGGTACTCGCAGTCCATCAACAAAATGGCGACTCTAGCAGAACCCCCTACGGTCATGTCATCATCAACCTCGCCGATGCCGACCGTGTACGAACAGGACATTGACAGCTTCATCAACCTCGATCAACTCACCTACACATCCGCCGAACCGGCTCGACCAAAAGCCATCCTGGCAAGCCAGCCTTCTCTCCCCAGCTCAGATTTCACCGCCAGCGATGTCCGCAGTGCGACATTCGCTGCCAATGGTCACTCACCTATGACTTTCCAAGGGCCTAGCCACCAATATGAGGAACACAAGCAGCAGACTGGTCTGCCACCAGGAGCTCTAGCCCAGGCAATGAACTTCAATCAGATGGCCGGCGTCACTTTCGGTAACGCGAGCCCTGCTTACCAGATGAATGGCGACATGTTCGCTAGCAGCCACATGAAGCGGGAAGAAACTTCGTTCGATTTCAACAACATGTCTTCTCGTAACCCGTCTGAAATGGACCTGGAGTCTGACGGCATGGGCGCGGTTCCTTACTATCTCTCACCCAATGTCAATAAGAATCAATTCATTGATCCCAATGCTCTTGGAGGTCATGAAGTCGTTCCTGCCGGGCCATCCACTCAGGTCGGCCGCATGTATCCGGGAATGCACCAACAACAAGCAGCCATGGCAAAGGCGGCTCAGCAACAGCAGCAACAACAACAACAGAAACAACATGAGATACTTCGTCAGCAGCAACAGCAGCAGCAATTCCAGCAGCAGCAGCAACAGCCACAGCAACAGCAGAGCCAGCCCCCTCGCGCCACGAACCCTGCCGTGGAGGAGCGGATTACGCGCCTTTTGCAGCAGATGAGACAGAACGCTATGGGCGCTATCGAGGACACACCATCGCCCTCTTCGTCCTTACCCCAAATGGCAAAGATGAAGAAGGATGAGCAGGATATGGACGAAGATGAAAGGTTACTTGCTAGTGAAGAAGGAAAGAAACTCAGTAGCAAGGAACGTCGGCAACTACGCAACAAGGTTTCAGCACGCGCTTTCCGATCGCGCAGAAAGGGTATGCTTTTAATTCTCGAACAGCGACCATATCCGCATTACTAACATGAACTAGAATATATCGGCCAACTTGAGTCAGAGGTCGCTGCACGGACCAATGAAGCCCACGAACTACGTCTTCAGAATCGTGTTCTGTACGAGGAAAATGCTCGCCTCACCGACCTTGCTCGCATGCTTCTCTCCTCCCCTCATTTCTCTCAGTTCCTGGACGAGATGAGCGTCAATGGCGTCCCCGCGCCCAATCTACCTCAATCTCAAACCCAGGTCTCTCAATCCCAGCCACAGCAGCAGCAGCAGCAACAGCAACAGCAACAGATTAAACCTCAGTCTCAACCACAACCCATGGGGCAGCCGCCCATGCAAGCTAGCATCGTCAGAGATGCCACTCCTAATCACGGTATCCCAGTCCCTCAGAACCCTCAGGTTGGCATGGTCATGGTTCCTAATCAACCGATGGATGTTTCTGCAATGAGTCTAAACAATGGCGCCTGGAACACCGGAATTGACATGAGCTATGGCAACACTCCTGTGTTTGCTGTCCTGGAGGTTCCCGAGGGTCCCGCACTCGACGCAGAGATGCTCTCTGGAAAGAGCTCGACTTTGTTCAGAACATGTCTGCCAGAAGTATCTTCTGCAAAGGATGAGATCCCCATGATCGAGCGGCCGCCAAATACAGAGGAGGAGACGAATGATTCTCCTGTCGGTGTCGAGAACCCAGATATTCAGCTTGACGAGTCCGACCCTGCTTTCGCCCTCTTCGCCGACTCCCCCGCCAAGGCCTCGTCGTCAGACTCCCCTGTGGACTTTCCTTGCACCATCCGATCTGAAAAGTCAACGCCTGCATTTGAGCTGGTGGTCGAGAATGAGTCCAAGGCCACTGCAGACCGCTTTGTCGTTCTTTGCAACAGTATGGAGGCAGCCTTCCAGCGCGTCTCTGTGATGACCTCCCATCTTTCATGATTCCCCCACGCCGCGCGGCCGCCGAGCATTTGTGATACCTATAGGATTTGTAAATTCCATTTTTGATATTTGTACTCATTTGGGCTTGTGAGCATCAATCTCTTGTGAGGATACATACTCCCCCTCTTTCCTTTGTTCATGGCATTTGACTGTACATCTGCGTCCTGCATCTCCTTCGTGCTCTCTCTCTTTTCCTCTCGTTTGATTGTCAATTCTGGGTTATTGGAGTCTCGGTGTATTGAAGGACAGGTCTCGCTTCTGTTTGGTAAGGGAATAGGAATTGGACCCCGGGTCCATTGGCCATTAGGAACCGATATTAGCTTTAGTCGAATAAGAGCAAAAGTCAGAATAAGCTGCAGTTATTCAAAAAAATTATTAAATACGAGAATTGAGTATTCGTAGCGTTTCAATCGGTGGATGTACTCGATGCCTCCACTGTCAAAACACGCCAAGATTCTTTAGGCGGAGGCAAATCTAAAACCATTCAGCAGCTCCGATATCCTGACTCACAAACAGAGTCACTCATCCAGGAAGACAGGCACTCAATTCCAGTTTCAACCCTGGATAGCTCCCTATGGACTCATTCTTGGATTCTGCAATGATTGCGCAGTGTCATCCATTCCTTCGGTGAAAGCTTTTCAGCAGCCACATTGGCTTCCCTTCTTTTTTCCGGGAGGCTGTTCACCAAAGCCTTTCGCCTGGCTCCGTCGCCAGCAGGCTCTTCTTGCTTCTCCAGAGCTGCGTCGTACCTCAAGTCGCGTCACCAGGTCTACGAAGGTACTTCTGGGCCTCCCAAACCGTCAGTCTATCGTCCGCTCAAGGCTCTTCGCACACGCGACCCTCGCCGCGAGATCAATCCAGACGCCTATCTTCTCAGAGCGCCCAAACTCGAGTTCAGACGAGGGAAAACCTACATTTTATACAACCCTGCTTCGCGCCAGGACTCCGGCTTCGACTATACACCTACTTACCCTGTTGGAAACAAACCAATGAAGTTCTACTATCAGGTGCTGACGACGCCGACGGCCGATACGCCGGGCACGACCGTCGTCCTACATTTCCCGGAGAAGCGGTATTTCTTTGGGCAGATTTCGGAGGGGACCCAGCGGGCCTGTACGGAGCGCGGTGTCAAGCTATCCTATCTTACGGATATTTTTCTGACGGGGCGGACGGAATGGGCGAATAATGGCGGGTTGATTGGTGTGATTCTCACGCTGGCGGATGGGCTGGCGAGCGCCGCGAATGCGCTGGAGCTTACTGCGCGTGAGAAAGAGGCCAAGGGCCGTGGTGGTCAGCATGTTAAACAACAGGCTCAGCAGCAGGACGGGCAGGCTGACAGAGGCACGTTGACGATCCATGGTGGTCGGAACCTGACGCACACCCTGGCCACTGCGCGGAGATTTGTTTTCCGCAAGGGGATGCCGGTTTTCACGAGGGAATACGACTCGGAGAGTCTGTCCAAGTCTGGTCCTCAGGCACGCACCGCTGATCCCTTTGAGCAGCCGACCTGGTCGGACAGGAACATCAAAGTGTGGGCCATGCCCATTCGACCCTCGCCGTCGCAGCGGTCGAGGAGGACATCGCCTCAAGCCGGGCCTCAGAGTCCGAGAAAAAGGAGCTTGGACGAGTTCCAGGAGCGTGACGCTGACAAGCCTGCTCTGGACCAGCGGGCTCGGGACCAGATCATGAGGCAATCCGTCATCTCCGACATGTTCAATTCGTCGTGGAGGATGGATGCTCTCGTCGAGACTCCTTTGGCAGAAGTCAAAATGCCTGCGGTCATGTTCGTCCGGGACCCCGAAACCAAAGACCTCAAGCCGTACCATGGCCCTGCTCCTGGAAGTGACAAGCCACTTCCCAACATCAAGGTGCTCGTGCGTCAACCCTGGCCTGGAGCCAGTGTGGAGAAACTCCCGCCCACGACACGGTGCGATGAGGCAGTTTCTTATATCGTGCGCAACCACGATCTCAGAGGCAAATTCGATCCACAAAAGGCGAAAGAGCTGAACGTCCGCGCCGGTCCCAACTTTGCGCGTCTGACGAAGGGTGAGAATGTGCTGTCTGAGGACGGAAAGACCGTCACCCCGGATATGGTCTTGGGTCCACCACGGCTCGGGAAGGGGCTGGCAATCATCGATCTGCCTACCTCTGACTACGTAGATGATTTGGTTGACCGGCCGGAATGGAACTCGGCCTGTGTCACCACGGGACTAGAGGCCTTCCTGTGGATTCTAGGACCGGGTGTGGGCGACCATCCTCGCCTCCGCGAGTTTGTCGCTCGCATGTCGCACTGCAAACACACCGTCTCCAGCACGGATTACTGTCCCAACTACTTGGCACTGAGTAGCGTGGCAGGGTCCTCCATCAGGCTAGCTAGGTTGCGCGGCGAGAATTATCCCGTCCCTGTTCATGATAACAAGACTCTGCCACAGCCAGGTACTCCTACGAGCGAATCAGAGACAACCAAGGAAATGATCCGCAACTCGCCATTCGAACCGATCAAACCCGGCCTGGTTATCGACATGGAACCCAAGTTCGAGCTTAACCGCTCAGAGGTCGTACCACTGTTCAACCCTGCTGAGACCGTGCAGAAGATCCCTCGCTCCATCGAGCAGCGGGTGACTGCCATCCGTAGGCGGGTCATGAACCCCCAATTTCAAGAGAAACTGGCCGAGTTTCGTAAAGACCTTCCTGGGGCCAATGTGGAGATTGTAACTCTGGGAACTGGCTCATCCTCGCCGTCCAAGTACCGCAACGTCTCCAGCACTCTCGTCAATGTGCCTGGGGTGGGATCCTATCTGCTCGATTGTGGCGAGAACACGATCGGCCAGCTCAAGCGGATGTACGAACCGAAGAAGTTGCAAGAGGTGCTGCAGAACCTTCGGCTGATCTGGATCAGCCATCTCCACGCTGATCACCATCTTGGCACCGCTTCTGTCATTAAGGAATGGTTCCGTGCGAACTACCCGAACGGCGTACCTCGAGCAGGCAATGTCGAGACCGACATGCGCAAGATTCTCCAAGAAAAGCGCCTGTTTGTCGTGTCCGAGGAGATGATGATCGGCTGGCTCGAGGAGTATGCCGGCGTTGAGGACTACGGTTTTGGAAAGCTAGTGCCTCTGGCCGCCCATCCCAGCTACATCAACCCAGACTGCAAGATCAAGACCAAATTCACCTACCGCCACTGCCGTGACGACGGCTCCTACCCCGGGTGGGAAGCCGACGGGAGCCGGCCTCAGACGTCCACGCTCGACTTCAACAACGATTCCTCCCCGTTAGCTCCCCTCCTGCGTCAGGCGACCGGACTCGCCGATATCCTCACAACAAGGGTCTCACACTGTCGTGGAGCCATGGCCGTCTCCCTCGTCTTCCCAGACGGCTTCAAGCTTTCCTTCTCCGGCGACTGCCGCCCATCCACCAACTTCGCCACCATCGGCCGCGACTCAACCGTGCTCATCCACGAAGCCACCTTCCAAGACGACATGGCCGTCTCCGCCATCGCAAAGAAACACTCCACCACCTCCGAAGCCCTCGAAGTCGGCCGCATGATGCAAGCCCGCACCGTCGTCCTCACCCACTTCAGCCAGCGGTACCAAAAAGTCGCACACGTCGACCACGGCGCCGGCGCTGGCACCGCAAAACCAGACCCCGAACCCAAGCCCGCCCCCATGGCGCGAGAGGACCTCGACGTTCCCGACGACGAACCCGTCCCCGAATCTGTACCCTCCACCCTTACGGTCACCCCCGCGGAAAACGAAAACAAACCACCCCTCCAAGCCCCCGTCACCGCCGCCTTCGACTACATGCGCATCCGCGTCGGCGACATCCCCATCGCGCAGGCCTTCGCCCCCGCCATCGAGAAGCTGTTCGATATCCTCGAGCGCGCCTCAGCAGTCGAAGCAAACAAGCAGAAGAAAATCCGCGAAGCGGCCGACGCCCTGGCGAAAGAGAAGAAGCAGAAGCAAAAGAAGAAAGGGGCCCCTGAGCCTGAGCCTGCTCCCTCTGCCACTCCCGCTGCCGGCGAGGCCATGGATATCGACCAGGGTCGGTCTGTGTGGAGCGCCAGCGAAAGCGAGAGTGGATGGGGCTCGAATGATGACGAGTGGATGGATCGGTTTTGGCGTGGGAAGCACAGTCGGAGTCGGAGTCATAGTAGGAGTAAGAGCCGGGGCGGACGGCGCTCGAGCCCGAGTATGCGGACGAAGAGCGGTGATGCTGTTTAGATTAGACTATTCCATGATAGATGGAAGTCCTGAGCGAATACATATACGGACAGAGTTGTATCCGTGGTTTCATTTCGCACCATGTGTGCATGCATATACACAAGTCTCTTACTGTTGGTTATTGGCCAGCCAGCGACAACATTACAAAATGTGCTATTCAAGTACATCCATTATCCCAGTCTACTGGATTACAAGAAGTGATTACCCTCTATAAACTAGCCCTGAAGGTATTACTAAAACCCGGCAACAGCCTTCTCCGCATCGTCCTTACCGTACAGCCCCTCCCCCAGATTCTGTACACACTCCTCCCTCCAGTTCTTGGGCGTGAACTTATCCACAATCTCCTTGAACGCATTGAGCGTGCAGAACGTCTCGTCGCCAGGGAGATGGTTCTCCGCTTTCGCTGCGCAGCCGGGAATCCGGACGGGGCGGTCATTGTACCGAATACGCACGTAGTGGTTCTGCAGCGCCTGACGTGTTGAGTTTGGGAGAGACGAAAGCGGGGCGCGGTCTGTGTCAGACGACGGCGAGGCATCATGACCGGTGATGTACGACAGGAGACCTCTTTGCTTGGCGGATGGGGAAGGCGACGACGGAGGTGGGTTCTCCGCACGGGAGAAGAGTTCAATAGCGATGGAAGAGGTGAAAGGCGGCCATTTGGCGTCAAAGGCGCCCACGCTGCCCAGGATAGCGGCGAGGGTGGTATCGTGGCACCCACTCATGGCGAACTTGATCGCCTTGCCGTTCTCTGCGGACGAGCCGGAGGCGGAGCGCTCGCTGCGCCAGCCGCCGTTGGCAGCGGCGTTGACCATGCGGTCCACCACGTCGCCCATAAGGGCACCGATCCCGAGTTTCCGGTATTCCCTGCTCTCTGTGTATCCGGCGAACCACTCGTCAACAGCGATGGTGTTGGTGTACTCGCGGGCTTTCTTGTCGTAGAACTCCGCGGGTAGTCTCGTGGCGGGGCCGTGAGCGTCGGTCGCGTTGATCGTGTCTTGGATACCGGAGAGGCGGGGGTGGGAGTCGACGGCGATTTGGGGAGAGGCATCTGGCATCCACTTAGACCAGAGGTTATTGAGGTAGTTCATTTGTTCGGATTCGTTCCCTGTAGCGTTATCATTAGGCTCAATTTTCACTCCTTTGATTCCGAAACAGTAGCGTACATCTTTTCGCGGCACGATCAGCGAACAGCCGGGCTAATTGCCTGAACCGCCGGCAGTTACCCTCATTGGGAAAGAGTGTCTCATCCGAGAAAGAGCGAGCAACAATCACCGGTGGAGGGAAGTCTTGCGTACGCGCACTGGCCGGGTACATGCCCCAGAAGGCTTGTTGGAGAGACTCGAGAGCTCGAGGGATAGGCGTGGCGCGAAGATACATATCTTCCGTATCCGATTTGATCTTTGGCATGAAACCGAGCTGATCGACATATAGATGTCTCAGACGCTGACCCAGCTCAAATGTAGTCTCCCGCCCTCTATCTGTCAATTCACCATGTTGGCTGTAAAAGCCGCGAAGCGTATCCAGTCAGCTATCAAGTCCTCACAACTACCAATTCGTCTCGGAAGTCGTGGAACTTGCCAGATACCCTCTATGTCACCGGTCGCACCCACGGCAACAACCGACTCGTCTCTGTCACCAAAGGCTTCCATTTTTCTTCGCCATTGAAAGCCATTCCACGATGAGAGGTCTTTCTCGCTGGCTGCCATCTGGATCATCCGACGCGCGACATTGCAATACGGCCAATCTTTGTGTGGTCATCGAGTTAGGAACGAGCAGTAAGGCTGAGGGCGATCGTGAATTCGGTTCGGGGCTTCTTACATGGTGCGAGGCCTGCCTTGGAGATGTCAGCTCGAGTGTCATGCATCAATTAGATCCGGAATTGCAATGTTACATACATTCTGGAATCGCGAGGAGACCGGCGTCCGTTCACCTTGAATAACCGTTCTTAGATCCAATTGCTTGGAGATAGTTCGACAGCGGGAAATATCGTACCGTGACGAAGGAACTAGATTCTCGCTCAGTATGCTTGATTGACTCGGCGCGGGAAAACACGTTTAAATCTCATCACATACCACCTGGACCAATTGAAGCTGAAGCTCCTTTGGATAGAGCTTCTCGAGCTCTTCCTTGGAGTAAGGCTCGCGGGGCACAAGAGTCGTCATTGGTGACACCTCACGTAGAACTGAAGAAGCAGACTGGGTATTAAGAATAAAAGAGGACACTCATAAAAGGAGCCCAGAAGAATAGCAATTGGGTCCAAAGTTAATGCTGCACCTTGGACTAAAAGAAAGTATCTTACGGTGACTCGGGATGGGCGCTTGATGACGCCAATGAGCGGTGCATAGGAAAGGGGCCAATCAGTGCAGTGCCGAGGATCACCTGTCGACTCCCTTTAGCATCCTATTCCCTCTCTACAATCAATTCCTGGAGATTTTCCAGACACTGACCTCGAGATATTCTTTCACTACGGACGGGGTCAAGTGAATCAGATTAAATATAATTAAGCGAGTAGGTTGACTATCTGCGATGACATACAGACGTGCTGCGCTTCTCGCAGCCAAAATTTCAGTTAGCATTAAGCAGCATCGCGATAATGCTTGCTATTCAATATGTCAATAGCTCCAGCGTGTTCGCTTCGTCAAATAATGCTACCGCTTCTTCGCCCGTTTCGCTTCAGCCTCCCGCTTCAAGGCTCTAAGACGGGCCCCCAATATTTGAATCAGCATATTGCCTGGGATTAGATGAAAGCTCAGACCCTGAAGGGAGTGAGGCCAATACGCCCAGACAACCGGTTCGCCGCATCCGACACGATTCAAGGCCGCTGAAGCCAGGGTGCGAGAGCTTGGACTGAATAGACCCACGGCCACATCATTTCCTTGACTATTAGTATTTCCCACTCGTAGCCCGAGAACTTCCACGTCTTTTCCGTCCAGCGTCATTTCGGCTTGCAGCGACCGGGTGAAGGATTCCACGAATCCCTTGGAGGCACTGTATACTGTGAGGGTCGGCATCACATAGGCTGCTGCCGAAGAGACGGTTAGAATGAGACTCGGGCTATTCTTCTCCAGGATAGGCATCAGGATGCGCGTGATTTGCGCCGTAAAAGTAGAATTAAGGCTGATGGTTGCCTGCACATCTTCATGTGTGAGCTCGGCCAGTCGCTCGAACGGCTTCACTCCCCCTCCAGCATTGTTGACCAGAACAGTGAGACAGGCGTCACCAATCTCTTGTGCAATCCATCTAAGATCTTCAGAGCTTTTAAACGCGTCGAAGACGATGATCCGAATCTTTGCGTTGGGGAACTGGGCCAGCAGCTCATCCCGTTTTCGTAGTAACTTGTCGTGGTTCCGACCGTGTAGGAAGACATTGAATCCACGCTTGCAGAGTTCCTGGGCAAACCCGAAACCTATTCCATCGCTGGCGCCGGTCACCAAAGCCCACGCATCTTTTCCAGGGGGGTTGTAGCGCGAAAGACTGGAGGGTCGGAGGTAGCAGTAAAAATGGCGGGCGACTTGTACGGCAAGATAACAAGTGGATGCAGCGCCAATATAGCCGAACGCGGTTTTCAATTCTTCTGGTATTTGCAGCATTGTAGAGGATCGTTGGCGATGAGTTGCTTCTGGATGGGACGTCGCGTGTAGGCGCAAAGGGATCAGTTTCAGCCCGAACTGGACATGAGATATATATATACCACTGGCGCTCGATTCGTGTCAGTTAGCGCTGGTCAATAAGAATTTAGTTGTTGAGATTAGAGCTGTGTGGAAGAAAGTCATAATCTTTAAACTACATCTCTCCTACTTCGCCATGGAGAGAAATATTCGGGGGGTCTTTGACGGCGCAATCGTGCGATGAGATCATTCATCACGGGATCGTGGCCGTGTCGACCATCGTGATGCGCGACTAGGTTTTTTTGCCAGGGGCCTAGTATGCCCGAGGGAGTATCTTCTCATGATGCTCCAAGCATGGTGGACGTAAAAGTTGGAGAATAGCAATTAGACTATTCGTCTGGATATCTCTCAAGAAGACCCAGAGCGAGGCAGTTTGTCACCCATTCACAGCGAACGCTGAACGCCAAGCCAACCTACCCCAGCTTATCTCCAGACCACTCTGCATCTTCACCTTTATCAACACACGACCTTCTCGCTGCCATTGAGATCCAAGGTATTGACAGCGCAGTTGTCTGGGTCGCATCATTCTTCGTTCTGCGATATCATAGTGAGCTAGACAGTGTCCGTCCTACGCAGGAACTTCCCCATTACGTTCTGGTTCACTCTTGTTCTGCGCCTACTGGATAGTATACACCCTCACGTGGATGCAGTGTTCAGGCTTCTGGTCAAATTCACAGCGCGCCTCGCCATGAGGCTGAAGATCTGACCTCTTTCGACATTCACTCATTGGCTTTGTCCCCAGTGTCGCATATTGCACCCTCGAGCAGCACATTGGATCACTGACCTGTGTTCTTCACTACCGTCGGCTTTTCTGAAGCCTCTTCACTTGGCATGGATGTAAGGAACCCTGCTACCTGGTTAACTTCCTCGTCCAACTATGCTGGGCATCACAGGAAATGCCACGTTGACGATCCATTGTTTTGCCCGAAGCTTGTCTCTCCGATGGAATTAACAAACCGTGCAAATGATGAGTCTAATGCTGAGCTGACCTCTCTTGTCTCAGATTGCAAACCAGCATTTGGGGCCGCCGGTACAAGGCAAGCCTGGCCATCTGGCCACGAATAAGCCTCGAGATGCTAAACCGCGCTTACTTCTGATGGGACTTCGCCGGTGAGCTATCCGCGTCTGAATGATGCTTGACATGTCGCTGACTCTACTCAGGAGCGGCAAGTCATCCATCGCCAGCGTTGTCTTCCATAAGATGCCGCCAAATGAAACATTGTTTCTAGAATCGACGACCCGTATCCAGAAAGATTCGATTCAGTAAGTACGCCCCTGCACCGCCGTATCTTGTTCTTACACAGTCTTTAGCTCTTTCATGGACTTCCAAGTCTGGGATTTCCCTGGTCAGCTAGAGTACCTCGAGCCGTCATTTGACCTGGAAGATATTTTCGGCAGTCTAGGCGCGCTCGTATGGGTGATCGATGCCCAGGATGATTATCTAGACTCCGTTGCTCGGTTGAACCGGACCATTCTGACCGTTCAGCAATACTACCCAAACATCAATATTGAAGTCTTCATCCACAAGGTTGACGGGCTTTCCGACGAATATCGCACAGATACCTTTCAAGACATAGTACAGCGCATCTCCGATGAGTTAAGTGATGCCGGTTACGAAAATGCTCCGGTGCACTACTATTTGACATCAATCTACGATTACTCGGTTTTCGAGGCTTTCAGCAAGGTGATCCAGAAGCTGATTCCAAATCTCTCCACATTGGAGAATCTGATCAATACGCTTGCGAATAATTGCGGTTTCGAGAAGACATACCTCTTCGACGTCCTGAGCAAAATCTACATCGCCTCTGACACTCGTCCCGTCGACATGTCTTGTTACGAAATGTGCTCGGATTACATAGACGTGATTGTTGACGTCTCAGAGTTGTATTCGTGGGACCACCCAGACCGCAAGCCCAAGGGAGATCAGATACAAGAGGCGGAAAGTCATGTTGTCTTGCACGACGAGACCATGATACATTTGATGGAAATGAACAAGTGAGCTGTCTCCGACATATCTATTGTTGAAAACTGTACTGACTGTTTAAGGTACCTATGTCTTGTCTCTGTGATTCGTAATCCTGAAGCGAAAGAGAAGAAGGGGCTTATCGACATGAATTGCCGCACGTTCCAAGAGGCGCTTAACGATGTGTTTTCAAGGAGCTGGGAGCAAGATCAGGATACAGATCAGGAACACGAAGAGCAGACGCAGCCTCAACTGGTCGAGCAAGGATCGAGGAGCTGAGTATATGGAAAGCTACTTGAAGCTTAACGAAACACTTTGGACTGGCCTAAGTCTTCGAAGCCCGAAGTGACTGGGCTGTGGTCCTATGGCAGTGTTCCCTCTGTCGAGACCACTGTTACTCATAATATCTTGATACATACATTTTTCCTGAATTAAAAAAATCGATTTGATCAAGGTGCTAGACATCTACGCCTATTAGAACAGCAGCGAAGTAGGCATCAGGCACCAAGGCATCAACTACCACAGACCCACTTACCGAAATTTTCCCTTTTCTGAGCTTTAAAAAGTTTCATTTCTCATCCTCTGCTTCTTCTTCTCTCCCACTCACCAAGAAATAATTGGTACTGCAATAGCAAGAGCTATTGCGTCGAGCATGATGTTGGCTTGATCCACTGACATTCAGATCCAGCGTGTTAACAACTTCATACACTCCCAACGACATGTTTTTAACTCACCATAATTGGTAAGTGCATCTGCTTCATTCTCACAGTTCTTCTCCCCTCTCTTAAATGATGAAAACCTTTTCCACATTCGCAGTTTCCACGCTAGCCGTCGCTAGAACCCATCTTAGACGTGCTCTGTGCGCATTTTCTTCCTTGGATGTCTGACATTATGACCACTTTTGTTCTGCTCTTGCAAGATTGAGTGTGAGCTTTTGCTGATTGATATTATTAGCTTTCTAGGTTCTATTTGTCAGTGGTTGCCAGCACCTGAATAGTATAAATGGTCATGAGCAATTATGGGAATATGTCGTGGCAGTTCCTGGATTCAGACATTTTTTGAGAAATATCAAGTGGCTAGACACGCATTCGTCGCAGGAGCTTAGATCTTAATGATAATCATGAATCAATGATCGTACAACTCTTCCTGTTAATTGGGGTAATTAGTTTTCTAAGGTGCTGTGTCTGCTCAATGAGTTGAGAGCTAGACGGAGGCAGTATGATGAATCGATAATAAAAACAGCCAGCAGTCTGATCTTGTAGATAATATACCTTAATGTTGAGGCGGCAGCTCTGCAATCAATTCAAACTAAATACCAGTTGCACGTCGCGCTCCATATTGTGAAACCATCGCCTAGAGGTAACTGGCGGAGAAGTCGGAGATACGGTCTTAAAGCTATCTGTCCTCGGTTTTCTGGGCGAGCTTACATACAAGCTACATCAGCACAGAACAAACCGCCATCCAGCATAGTCTAAACAACAATCAGCACCATGTCCGAACTCCGCCAAAGACAAGTTCCTGCGCAATCTCCCTCGACATCCGACAAACCCACGAAATCAGCATCGAGGCGACGAAGCAATGATGGCGGAATCAGTGTCGCCGACATCATCCGCGTGCTGCTCACGCTGGTCGTAGCATCCTGCGGGCTCTCCTACTACATGACCGGCGAGTCTGTCCTCTGGGGATACAGGCCGTGGTTCACAAGATGGCCAGTCTTGGTCCAGTACATTGTAAGCCAGCCCCGTCTTTCGCGAGAGCTTCTTTGCTGTCCTCGCCGGCGTGCTTCAACGATGATGCTAACAACGCAAAGAAAGGACCCGTCTACCTAACACCGGACCAACTCGCCCTCTACAACGGCACCGACCCCTCCCTCCCCATCTACGTCGCCGTCAACGGCACCATCTTCGACGTCTCCGCCAACCCGCTCGTCTACGGCCCAGGCGGCGGCTACAACTTCTTTGCGGGCCGGGATGCAACACGTGCGTTTGTGACGGGCTGTTTCCAGGAGGACCTCACGCATGACCTCACGGGTGTGGAGGAGATGTTCATCCCCCTTGAGAACGAGGAGGAAGACAAGAAGCTGAGCAGTGGGGAGAGGAAGATTCGGCGGGAGCAGGATAGGAGGGTGGCGCTGGGCAAGGTGCGGAAGCAGGTGGCTCACTGGGAGAATTTCTTCCGTAACCACAAGAAGTACTTTGCGGTGGGGAAGGTGGTGGGATTGGAGGATTTGCCCAAGGAGAAGAGGGAGCTCTGTAAGGCGGCGAGGCAGCAGCGGCCGAAGAAGAGGGAGGTGGTGGGTTGATGTTATGGCAAAACTGGCGTGTTTGATGGCTACGATCAGGCTATAGGTATCTACGAATCGGTAAAGCAAGTTTGGAACAGATTTTGTGAGATCGATTCAGTCAAATTTACTTGACATATGCAGTAGCGCGTGCTTTCACACCAGAACACATCATTCGCCCAGCCAGACTTTCCGAATTTTATAGTGATATCATTCGTAGCATAAAAAAAGGACCGCGAGAAATTTTCGTAGGAAATCGTTTACTCAGCGGTAACGGCACGGGCTAAGAGCATTTAGTTAGCGTTGCAATCCAACGACCAAAATCACTCTTATTGAAATGCAAGCAGTGCGGGCACATACTGTAGATGGTCATCTTGGAGTGGCCAACGACCTTCTTGATCTGTCCCTTCTCCTCGAGATCAGCGAGGGCCCTGCGGGCCAAGCTGCCGTTGATCTTCAGACGGTCGACAAGGGTGGCGACGGTGATGAGGCGGTAGGACTGGACATCCTTCTGGAGTCTCTCCGCGGTCTGCTTCTCAAGGACGACGGCGTGCTGGGCCTTGTCCTTGACTGTACAGTAAATGAAGTCAGCATTCGTTCAGTCTCCGACCCCAAGCTTCGTTGAATCCGGCAAGTGACAATCTCTTCTCCCCGACGGAAAAGGAACCGATGTGGTAA